CTAATCATAGCTGTGTTTTCGCCATAGCAATACTGATTTCTTGTCCAATGACTTGCTTCTTTTTGCCTACCCCACGAACTGCTCTTGAATATAAATTTTACTAACTAATCAAGTTTCATATCGCATTGTTACCTTTGGTAGACCAGCCAAACTAAAATAAAACATATTTTCTCTTTTTATTAGGTACATAAAGTTTTCAAGATAATGATTGTGTGGAATTTCACTCTTTATTATGAATTCTTTTAGGCAGTAAATACTTAGGTTCGGTTCGCGTCAGCTGCCTGGGGGTCAATTGCCGAACCGGTAATCGGATGGGTGACCAAAATTATTCTATCTAGAGTTCCACCGTGCTTCGGAAGGCACGATAAGCGTTGGTCGGCTGCATCTGCCGTCGTAAGCACTGGGTCCGCGTGGTAGGGCATGGCCAAAGCCCCCTATTACATTCATAGGAAAGGCCTGTGCCCCCAGCAGTGGGGGCATTAATAGGCTGATGATGATGAAACGATCCGGGCGAAGTTGGTACATCTCTAGAGATTCCCTAGCATTATACACCTTTTTAATTTTAAATATCCAAATTTCAATAGGGAAGATGGTTGGTATATACCACCAGCTTGGGAACCTATTATACAGGAGATAAAATCCCAACCCCGAGCACACACTGCAAGACCATCAGATACTATTAGGTCTTTTTGTTTGCATAATTTAACATAAGAAGGAGATAGAAAGCCTCTCTTGAGTTTGTTTCGCCGGTTCTTCTCAGGAAGGTCTCCCAATTTTAGAACCGGTGGTAGTTTACGGTAGTTAGGGTCAAATAAATAAACTCAAAATTACAAACAAGAATTTTAAATAAAATACTTTATTAAGTAAATTAAATAATAAATTCATATATAGACAATTAAATTTTAAAAATCTTCCAATGAAATAACCGAACGCTCAATATAAGTCTTTCGAAGGCAGCTCGACAATTTTAAATAAAAAATCATTATTCTGACGATGCAGACCTGAAAAGGCTGCGAAACGTCAATAAATAAATAAAGTTTCGTGCATTAACCCGCAAAAACTAGTTTTATTTTTAATTTAACTTTTTTACCATTCTTATTATAATAAGAACACTGTTACTATGGAAGTAAAATGTATTAATTAAAGTCATTTCTTTGATTCATCCAGTGGGAAATACTAACGAATGCCTGGGTAATTTTATGATATTCATAAAAGAATAAAGAATTCCCAAATTCCTTTGTAAATTTCCACCGTCGCCGCGTCGTTACAAGAAACGCTTTATATAACACTTGTAAACAGTGGGCTTATCAGATGGATTCCTTTGTTTGCCTATCGATTCTATACACTTATTTGATCTTGTGATACTCTGATTTCAAAATAAGTCGCTACTCCGAATTCCTATTATCTGGTTACTTTGTTGGCTTGTTGAAATGATATGATTGTGTTGGAATCTATATTGTCAAAGAACTAAACTACTTTAATTTGTACCTTTAAGACAATATTCAAGAACAATTAAATAAGGAAAAGAAAAACATAAAATAATATAAATATAGAAAAAAATTGTGTGTGTCAGCTCCGACGCACGACCGGAGTTTACACTCTAAAAACGATTGTCTTTGAACAGACACAAAACAAAATCAAGTCCGAAGAAGTCGGTTACCAGTAGAGATACCTCAGGAATCGTCCCATGGTTTCGACTATCATAGGTTCCATGTCACACATTTTATCATCTAACATCAGCGATATTCATCATATATTTTATTATGTATTTCTGAAAACACACAATTTCAAAAATATCACACACTAGTCATCATTTTGTAAATATGTATTATAATTCCATCTGTACTGAAAATCACTATTCCAGAGTGCTGGACACTTACCGGCATTTCTCTATATTCTGATATTTATTTGTTTTCATTAATTTTGCTCCGATTTTATCTATTTTTAGTTTATTTAATTTATTGACATTTGTGATAACTTAATGTTTTTTATCCGTTGCCATGGCTAAAAGTGAAAGGTTGTGCACAAAAACGTAACGAGGTCATTAATGTCTTTCATCGATAGATTTTACTCCTCACATTTTTCTCATACCGGGCTTCAAAAATGCTAAAAATTAATATCAACACAAAAGCCAAAAATAATCCAAATTAAATTTTGTAACTGAAAAGTGTCTTGTGATTTTTTTCATTACAACTAAAAAACTAGCAGTTCAATGTTTATATTAAAATAATAATACTTTTAAGTTTTTCCATGTTTATGATGTCGCTCCTCTCAGGCGGCCAAAAACCGACACTCGGTTTCTGTTAATATCCCGACATGTGGCAAGCGACCGACAGTCAGTCGTTTACCATACGAAAGTCGGCCCCGTGCCCCAAGCCATCATTCGTTTTGCTATCACCTACATTCTTATATCATTTAGAGGAAATAACAGGCTAGCTATCTAGCCGTTGATTATGTGAACTGCCATATGAAATATTTATACTGTTGTCTGTGTAAGTTCGTCGTTCGCCGTATTTTGAAGGAGACATCTAACATTTACCTTCTTCTATTTCTTATTATTGTTCACGTGTTGTGAGTGTGCAGCAACAAACCACACTCGCGAAGGCCTTTGACGCCTTTGTCTTCCGATCCATCCAATTTAGCAGCTCTTACCCCATCCCAATTCCTTATTGTGCGAACTTTAACAATTTTATCTTCTCCAGAAACTAGAGATATCAAGAAGCCGAGCTCTCTTTCACATTATGTGCCTCTTCCTATATCTATACTAATATAATAAAGAGGAAAGGTTTGCATGTAAGTATGTTTGTAACGAATAGGCACAAAAAGTACTGGACCGATTTAAAAAAATCTTTTACCGGTTTAATGCAAGAAACTTTATTTATTTATTGACGTTTATAATAATTCTTTCGAAGGTAGCTCGACAATTTTAAATAAAATCATTATTCTGACGATGCAGACCTGAAAAGGCTGCGAAACGTCAATAAATAAATAAAGTTTCGTGCATTACCCCGTAAAAACTAGTTTTATTTAATGAGTGATGTGCGTGAAAACCTAAGAAACAAATAAATCTTTTACCATTTGAATGCTACATTATCACTGATTAATATAGGTTATAGTGTATTTTCAAAAAAGTTAGGGTTCCGTATCAAAACTTCGATAATGTAACCCAACGTGTGAAAAAAAATCCAAAAATCTAGCCTTATATCGCGTAAGCTGCGGAAGGCATTGACAATAGAGCAAATATATATAAATATGTAGGGTGTTATGTTTTGTATGTATTTTAAATATATATATATATATATATATATATATTGTTATTTCCATTTTATTTTGTTTTATATTTTGCTGGCACATTACTCTTCTATCTCTGTTAAACTATCCTTCGACTTAAAGGTTGTCTGGAAGAGATCGCTTACAGCGATAAGACCGCCTTTACCCAACATAGTTGACTATCTGTGTTGTATACCCTTTAATTGTGTATGTGTGAGTAATAAAGTGTTTATCTATCTATCTCAGATTGAATACTGCCTAATCTGACATAATGTAGCAAATAGCGATCTGCTAATCTCGTTTGATATGATTATACAGTGCGACCTAATTATTATATTGAAGTGGTTATTATATACCTAACATGTGTCTTCAGCGGATGAGATTAATATGTCTTTAGCTACAAGTGTATATAAAATATTGTTAAACAGCGCCAATTAATAAGTTTCATGGATAAAAAAATACCGACAGAAACTCAACATCAACAAAAGGTAATGTTATGTTACTGTGATCTTCTGTAAGATGAAATGTGATCTATCTTCTGTAAGATGTTACTTTCCCAGACGGGCACTATGGAAAATCAAGGCGTGTTTCAGATCAAAAATCGATAACTTTTTTATTTAATAGGAAAGACAGTTGAATTGATGGTCAAGCCTAGATTATTAAATAAGGCTTTAGATAAAGTTCAAATACAAAACTTTTATTAAAGTAAATATGTATATAAAAATGTTTAAAAAAAAGTTTAAGAAATTTCGTTTAGCTTATTTTTTTTTTCTATTTATATTGTGAGAAAAATTTATTATATCATTTGTTTGTTATAAAATAAAACAAACAAAAATAAAACTCACCTTATTAATAATCAATTAAAAGTTAAGATTACAAATATTTATTTCACAAAACATGAAAGTTACAAAATACTAATTTATAAGTAAAATTAATATTAGAAAAATTATGTGCTATATTTGTAGCGTAGATATTCATTATTTTAAAATAATGAAGCGAACAGACCTGAAATAGACATTTTTAGAATTGACACTTTGTCGTATTAAAAAAAAATATTCCAAATTTATTTCAACCAAAATTATTACATTACATATTAGTTCCACTCTAATACTATTAAACAAAAAAAAAGTGCGTCAGTAACGACATTAGTAAAAACGATTTTTGATATGTTCTATCATTTTTCATAGTGGGCGTTCCAATTCGAAGCGGAAATTCCGCTATGCCCTACCTCTCTTAAAGTGATAATTATCAAAGATATGTTACCGTATAAATTGATACCTAATAATAGACTTTCATGATTTATCGATTCAATGACTCGTAAATGTGAACACGCACGATTTGTGAGAGCCTTATCTGAGACACCAGATTTGGTTTCCGGTGAAGTCGCCGGAACTTATCTCGGGTTTGGTTAGGTTCGTACTATCATAAATAACACACGTATATTTTTATATTATATAAGTAGGTATTATGTGTTGACGCGGAAGAATCCCTAAACGAGGATCCCGCGGTTTCGCGCTAAGCAGCTTAGAGGGTATTCGCAGGGTTTTAGCGTATATTATGCCGTAAAGCGCCCGTAAGAGTTACGGGGTCCTCAGTGGCTAGCCACTGCTGGGACTTGTAAGGCTTGCGGGAGCCAGGTGTGAGGTCCGTTCGGCGTTGTGCCTCTTAAAGGCGCCGTCGTCTGTAAACAGTATTTTTTGCATGCGTATAAAAAAAAGGTATTATATGTTGTTAAATTTAAGTATTTATTAAAACAAGCCCTTAAACTACTTTTAAAATTAAACCGAAATGTTCTCTAATCTAAAAAAACTTATAATTGACAGCATCCGGTCCCAAGTCTTGGTAATCTTTTCTTGTCATCCAGAATCCATTCATATCGTCCATGGAAGCCAATACCGAGGCTCCTCCCCATTGAGCGAACTGCCTGGACGGTAGATCGTCAACTTGCACCTTCACTCCTGGCAGACGCTTCTTCATATCGTTGCTCAGACGGGAAACCAGGCCTTGAAACATGCTGGAACCTCCAGATGGCACTATGTTATCGTAAAGCATCGGTCTGCAGTCCACGTCGCACCTGGAAATGCTGGAGCATATAAGCTCCACCAGTCCAGGGCAGTTGATGCCTTCCAAGGAAGGTCGGAAAATACATTCAGGGCATTGGAAGCGTTCGTCTCCGAGCAACACTTTCTCACCGTCAGGTAACTCGTACTCCCCTCTTGTGCCTGCAGTCGACGCATTCAACTCCAGTTCCGAAGTGTAGTCCTGAGCTACGTAGCACATTTTGGCCTGTACAAGTCAGATTCTTATGAGAGTCATATGTTTATTTAGACTAACAATATGAAATTCAATGCTTCTTATATTTAAATCTAAAGAAAAGTTTACTAGAAAAACAATCCACGCGGACCAGGCAGCGGACGGGACTCGAACCCGCATCCTTCGCTATCCGGACGAATGCACTGACCATTATGCTACCACGGCCCTATTAGCCGCGTCGAAATTTTCCTAGCCTTAAGCTTCAAGGCAGCGCCATCTCTTCGCATTGTAGGTAACCCACAATGTCAAATGAATACTTTTGCAAGTATTAAACATTTCAAGTATTTTTTCTAGTAAACTTTTCTTTAGATTTAAACATCTAGCAGTTAAATGCTTAAAAAATAAATAAAATCATAGCTTCTTGTATTGTTTATTGTAAGAATATTTCAAAGATTTATTAATAGGCAATAATCTAGAGCCAGCCCTATTACACCGTAGGACTCAATTGAGTTTACTGTAGAAATAGAAGATTATAAAAAGTCTTCCGTATAATTAATGATAATAAGTCAGGGGGCACTTGTTCTCACAAAAAGAGCTTTAGTATTTCAAGATATTAACTAACCTTGATACTTTCTAGAATGGTTCTATATGTCGGCGTTTTAAAAGAGTATCCTATCTTTTCCATCATACGTCCGAGAAGGTCGGTCAAATAATCTCCCGTCACCGGCGAGCAGGAGGCTGCATGGCCCAGATGGAATCCCTCAAATATCGGAGTAACACAGGAGCAGGCGCTGCCGTTCTCCCAAACCACTCCTGTAGTTCTGCCACTCGCGTATAACACAGCCACAGGAGTCCTCACCATATACAATGCTTTAACTGTGAATGTTTCGAACATCATTTCAGCCATGTCCTCCCTGCCAAACCATTTAAACGCTTCATTAGTCTTTATTCGAGGAGCTCGATGCCGCAACTGGTTAAAAGTTAAGCAACTTTCGCAGTGGTCGGTCATTGGATGGGTGACCAAAAATTTACTATCTCGAGCTCCTCCGTGCTTCGGAAGGCACGTTAAGCCGCTGGTCCCGGTTGCATCTGCAGTCGTTAGCACCCACCAATCCGCACTGGGCCCGCGTGGTGGGTCATAGCCCAATCTCCCTATTCCGTCCATAGGAAAGGCCTATGCCCCAGCAGTGGGGACATTAATAGGCTGATGATGATGATGATTAGTCTTTATTATGACTTAGTCTTTACGAAGACCTCCGTGGTGTGTGGTATGTACACCAATTTTCAAGGTGTCGCCTATTAAGAGGCCTCCGGTACAAATTCCGGTGGGGCAAAGGTTAGTATACCTAAGTCATGGATGTTTATATATATTCTAGTTAAATCACGAAACGCAGTCGCTTGGCTTGTTTCAACACTTGCTGATAAAGTTTTCAATAGTCTATTCGGAACTTGTATGTCCGATAAACAACAAATTTTGCTTTGTCATGTCCTAAATAGAAAAATCATAATAAAAACTACATATAATAAGCAACTTTGTATCTACAATATGTTAGTATTTACAGCCAGGAAAATATTCTAAAGAAAAACACAAATACAGGAAACGATGGACATACCTATATTATAATAATATCTATTTCAGACCTTTATGCGGTCGAGAATTTACTCATTCCTACGAGGAAGGTTGGACGATTTTCATTTATATTTTCCGACCCTCAGTCAGTTAGTACTAAATATAGGAATGATTTGGTAATAAAATATTTCTCCGAATTGAAACTCTTTACGAGTTCTCAGAGTAGGTAGTATTGACAAAATATTGTTTAAATATACTTGTCCTTTTTCGGCATCAAAGCGTGCATTGTGTGCATGAGACTCGACTCTTCGGGCGGGACCTTCAACTCTTTGTAGTAAATGTGATGCCACAGCTTTTCCATCTGGTCCCAGTCGCAGATCAGGCCGTCTCGTACCGGCATAACTAGGTCCAATAAACCTCGTTGCTTCAAAGCCTCATTCCCGCAACAGATTTGAGGCATACCGTCGTGTATACCAGCATGACGACATCTAAATCAATTTATTAATTTTAAAGTTTAATTCCTGCTTCGGAAGGCACGTTAAGCCGTTGGTCCCGGCTGCATCTGCAGTCATTAGCACCCACCAATCTGCACTGGGCCCGCGTGGTGGGTCATGGCCCAATCTCCCTATTCCATCCATAGGGAAGGCCTGTGCCCCAGCAGTGGGGATATTAATAGGCTGATGATGATGATGAAAGTTTAATTTATATTATTATTTTGTAATTATGAATATGATATTTGAATATGTATATCTAACTGAAGTTGCGAATCTGTTAGGCTTAAAAATGTAAAATAAATGATTTTTCATCCCACCACCTCGGAAAGTGTAATTTTGCGCTTCGAAATCTGGCTGGAAAATTCTATTTTATTCGCTTGAGCGGCAAAGTAGATTTGAATTTAGAACATCACATATAATGAGTACTCAATATAATTGTAAATTCAAAACGTCATTAAACCTATTTAATGTAACCTCTATGGTGCCAAATTTATGATTAGAACTTTTTAAATTGTGAAAAAATTTAAATTTGGAACCTTCTTGGTTTCTTTGTTTTATTTGCGTGCTTCGCGCCATTCTAGTTTTTCACGTTTTATTGCTTAATATAATTAACATAACCTAAAAACTGTACAAAAAAATCAACTAAAATGAGTGACATTAGCGACGATGAAGTTTATCTAACGCCAACTGAGTTAACTGAAACAGTTAATAATGCGCAAATGAGCCTTCTCCCTCAGCAATCACGAGAGAAGTATTTGAAACAGTACGATATATTTAACATGTGGCGACTAGCTAAAGGAGCAAAAACTTTCTCCGAAAACGTTTTGCTGGCATATTTTATAGAATTATCTGAGACCAAGAAAGCAAGCACGCTATGGAGTACGTATTCAATGCTAAAATTAACAATTAAGATGAAGAAAGACGTTCATATCGACACCTATCATAAATTAGTGGCATTTTTAAAAAGAGCCTCATCTGGTTATAAACCAAAAAAATCGAAGGTTTTCACAGCATCTGAAATTGCAAAGTTTATTAATGAAGCACCTGATTCCGTATATTTAGCGGCAAAAGTAAGTCAATACGTGTAATTTTTTGTTGTTGATAAAATTGTACATAGTACTTACAATATTTTTAATTTGATTAATTTATTTACGATTATAAATACTTCTTTTGTTACAGGTTGTTCTTATTATTGGTATAACCGGAGCATGTCGAACAAATGAACTTACACTACTTAATGTCAATAACGTATCAAAATATTCTCATAATTCTGATGAATTGCTATTAATTAATGTACTAAATACCAAGACAAAAAAAGACCGCAACTTCGTTATTCGCAAGGAATATGTAAACATTGTTCAGAAATATCAAGCTTTACGTCCTTCTAACACCCCAATTGAACGATTTTTTCTACAATATCGCAACGGAAAGTGTATCCGACAACCTATGGGTCAGAATAAAATTGGCAGTATTCCACGAGAAATAGCAACTTTTCTCGGACTTTTAGAACCCCCGTTATACACCGGTCACTGTTTTAGAAGAACCTCAGCCACACTTTTGGCCGAATCAGGGGCTGATCTTCTATCGCTTAAGCGCCATGGAGGCTGGAAGTCTAATTCGGTTGTAGAGGGATACATAGAGGATTCAATCCAAAGTAAATCAAAAATTTGTAATAGTATCGTGGAGGCCATAACGCTGAAAGAACCTCTGTCAGATTCTTGGTCTCGCCCTTCTACATCTAAAATGAGCCCCCATAAGATTGGAAACAATAGCCCTCTCTCGCCAACATTTACGCCAATAGAATCCAATGAATCGGCACAACTATTTAAAATTACTGATACGAGTAGTTTACCACAAAACAGCGCACAATTCACAAACACCAACATAACATTACCTAACAAAAATATTAAACTTAACATAAGTAACTGTAGCAACGTTACATTTAATATTTCTTAATTATTTTCTACTTCTTATTATTTTCTTCAATTTATAGATTATCTTAATGTGTTTTAATTGAAATAAAAATATTTTGTCATTATAAATTGTTTTCTTTTTCATTTTGTCATTTCCTCGCTGAGGTGGGATGAAAAGTTACGTATTGCACTCGAGTGGAAAGATTTTTCACCTTGTGCTCGTTTGTTTCCCTCGCTGACGCTCAGGATTCTAATTTAGAATCACTCGCTGCGCTCGTGATTCAACTTTAGAATCCTTCGCTTGCTCGGTCATCCAAATCGAGCACGCGGTTAAAAAGGAACTTTCCACTCTTGTATAATAAATAACTATTATTCAATTCCTCTGACAGCATTAGTTATTTAGTACTCTGCGAGCTTAATGATTTGTTATGTTAGTAAATTTCTAATAGTGTGAACCTTTCATTGGTTAACTGTTGTTCATAACGTTTTTGTTTTCTTGTTTGTGAAACCATTCAACCGTTCATCCGGCAGAATAAAATAAATAAATAAAAATGTCCTATTTAATTATAATTTCTGAGAAATTCATTGAACGCTTTCCACTCCTATTAAAGTTGTATATAACTGGACTGCATTATTCTGAATTATTTTGTTCTATTGTTCAATGACAAAAGACAACAAATGACAAGAGACAAAACACATTTTTCACTACTTTTGACGTGACAACGTCTTAAATTAGGTTGCGGCTGGGAGTCACTTATGAAAAAGTGTAACGCTCGGTAACGTTACGATGAGTCTCTCGTGTTAAGTTTAAGTTTACATGTACAATGTTTTAGTAAACAAAATATATTTCTATAGTTAAAATTTGTGCAATTCTTATTTTCATTCAATTCCTTGTTCCTATTGTGCAATTTAATTATATTCATATCAATAAATATTCTACCGAGAAAAAGACGTTGTCACGTAAAATCTTCGCCCGTAAAACCGACTTTACAGGCAACCATTTTTTTTTTTACTTGTGATTTTGTCTATATGCATCAGTAAAGGTGTTCTATTGTCGAATGCCAACGGTAATTTTTCACAATAGCTTTGTTTAATATCATAATCATAGTTATGTTTTTATTTATTTTTAAGCATTTAACTGCTAGATGTTAAAATCTAAATAAAGAAAAGTTTACTACAAAAAAAAAATATTTAGATTTAAACATCTAGCAGTTAAATGCTTACAAATAAATAAAAACATAACTATAATTGCTATTTCTTCTTTCAAATGTTTAATACTTGAAAAAGTATTCATTTGACATTGTGGGTTACCTACAATGCGAAGAGATGGCGCTGTTTTGCGGCTTAAGGCTAGGAAAATTTCGACGCGGTCAATAGGGCCGTGGTAGCATAATGGTCAGTGCATTCGCCCGGATTGCGAAGGGTGCGAGTTCGAGCCCCGTCCGCTGCCTGGTCCGCGTGGATTTTTTTCTAGTAAACTTTTCTTTAGATCATAATCATAATTATTGCTTTTCCATGTAGGTGTAGGAGATGTTACAAAGCGTTCATTGAGATCCTAAGACGAACCCGGCTAGGGCATAGCAATGTGCTTCAAAGAGCTTGTTTAATTTTTTATAAATAAATATAAATTTAAAACACGTCAAAAATCTTACTTATCAATAAAATTAATAAAATTCTATGTTATAAAAATATTATAGTCACTAACATCGTTTATTTGGATTGCTTTGCTATATCATGCATGTGTACATACCTTGTTTTTTACTTGACTAAAGTTGAGTACTTTGTGGTTATAGTACTTGCAACTTTATCGAAACATGGGGGACTCGCAAAAAACAAGCTACCTACCTTAATACATGCTAGCGTTCCGATAAATTAATCTTAGCTTTTTTATGTTGAAAGCTTATGATCCGTGTGATGATAAGTAGCCACCATAGCCTGTAGACTCTTGCGGTACAAAAAAATATCACTCGGTCTGTCTGCCTACCCCATAGAGCCCCACCCACCAAAAGAAACCCAAGATCACCAAAAGGTACCTAATGTTGTTTCGCTACGATTTTCTTTTCTCTTTTTATGTTAAAAGGAGGGTAAAAAGGCATATGGCCCGCTTACATTAAGACATCGACACATTGTCAATAATAACATTCATGTCGAGTTATACAACGGAAATTAATTAGTTTCATGCTTAAAAAAACATTTTGCTCTACATTAAGCTTCTTATGTTAGTGTCGCCGCACACGGCCCACCAACCACAACCACAAAACGCCGCCACCGGCATATTTCTTGTAGTTTTCATACATTTTATATGGACTCGCCACACACGGTACGCCGGTGGCCGCCACATGCTACAAATCGTCGTTGCTCGCTTCTTGAGGCTCGCACCGGCCACTTAATGCGCCGATACAAAACGCCGCCACACGTCACTCGCGCGATTCCCCATTCCTCTCTCCCTTACTTTAGACGACCGCTGCTATCACGCGCTTCAGCCACTTTAGTAGCCGCTTCTAGCTTCTCGTGGCGCATTTGTGGTAGTGGCGTGTGGCCCGTGTGCGGCGACACTTAAGTGTGGCTGAGAGCGTGGTTGAAGAGCGCGACAGCGGCCGACTAAGGTAAGGGAGAGAGGGGTGGGGAATCGCGCGAGTGACGTGTGGCGGCGTTTTGTATCGGCGCATTAAATGGCCGGTGCGGGCCACAAGAAGCGAGCAACGACGATTTGTAGCGTGTGGCGGGCACCAGCGTACCGTGTGTCGCGAGTCCGTGTGTAATATGTATGAAAACTACAAGAAATATGCCGGTGGCGGCGTTTTGTGGTTGTGGTCGGTGGCCCGTTTGCGGCGACACTAAAGGGGTGGCAAACAAGCGTATGGCCCGCCTCATGGTAAGCGGCCACCATAGCCTATAGGAGCTTGCGACACCAAAAATTGCATTTGCACCGTTGCCTACCCTTTTTTTTTTGTTGACGGTGGAAAATGCATTTACGCACCATACCGCGCGCTTGCCAGGCGCGCGACGTGTGTGGGACTCCCCGGCGCGGAACAACGCCGGTCCTACCCACTAAAAACCACCGGTACCCTCCTCGGCCCTTATGAGGGCGCCCTGGGAATCTGGGATCGGCACACCTACGTGTGCCACTACACCAGAGCATACCGTTGCCTACCCTAACCCCATCCCCTACCCCGTGGAAACCTGGAACCTAACTCACCGATAGAAACACAACACCACTAAAAGCTAGTGTTATTTTACTGTGATCTTGTGTAAGGTAATCTGATGATGATTATAGTAATTCAGACTTACCGCCCTACAGCAGTGCATATCAGAGACCTGGGGGCACTCTCGTAAGCGAACCCAGACTTGGTGGAGTGAGAGCCTGCGTCTATTACAATACGTAACGAATCATCAAGCGAAGACATTGTACTTATTACTTAATATCTACAGATTATTTAATTCTCCTGACGTCGACATGACCAACTTGATTCTGGTTGGTTGTTGATACTACAGATTTAGGTATTTAATTCTCCTGACGTCGACATGACCAACTTGATTCTGGTTGGTCGTCGATATAAAATTGACGTCTGAGTTAAAATTTAATTCGAAAAGAGAGATACAGGGTAAATAACAGCCCTTGCTGAGTTTCCTGCCGATTCTTTTCACTATAACGTCTCCCGCCGTAGATTTACGAACCGATGCCGGACGTATAGCTTCCAGACATTCACGAGTGCTAGTACACTATCAATCCAGATAGAATAAATAATTTTGAGTTTGAATTTAAAAGCAATCTGCAACAAGGGCGGATCCAGCTTTGGCGCCAGAGGGGGTCATATAGCCAGCTTTGGCGCCAGGGGGGGTCATATAGCCAGCTTTTGCGCCAGGGGAGGGTCATATAGTCGTGGTATATTAAATATTGAAAGTACTTAAATAAAATCCCCCTGGGTTTGGTCCAACTGTACCCAGCCTAGGGGAGGGTCATGACCCCCCCCCCCCCCTGGATCAGCCCTTGATCTGCAATGTGCTATTAATTTGATTATTGTATGCAGTAATTTATTCTGGGATGGAATCATTCGATACAATTTTATTTAAAAAAAAAAATACATTTTAAACCAATGAAAATTAACTGTATATTAATTTAATATTATTAACCCCTTGATTGACCTATTGACCTTATTTTAATAAAATATGTTATTTTATATTATTTTTAATAAATAAAATCACAAAGACAAAACAAAGTCAGCAAGGGTCTTTTTTACTCCGGAGATATCAAATCATTTATGTCTACAGAGATATCAAGTTGAAAAGCTACTTCAATATGAGATTCGAGAGTATCGAAACTTGAATAAAAGTAATGTATAAAACATAATTTATTTTAAGAACATTATTTTACAAATTTATGTTGATGTATATTCCTGCGATGTTACATTTCAAGTTGTTCCTTAAACTTTGATGCTCCCGCCACTCTGAAAGAAGATTCGAGACAATTAGATAGAAAGTTATCTAACAAAATTTAGTACCTAGTTATCGCAGTAATCTCGTTTACAAAGATTAAGTAAATTAGGCGCCTTTATCACCGGTTCGGTGCGAGCTCGTTTCGTTTCCGTTTCTGTACCGAATCTGTACAGACCTATACAAACTCTTTACTGAATGCATGTTTATAAGAGCTTCCCCGAGGAGCTCGATGGCGCAAGTGGTTAGCGCGTTCGGCTGCGATCGTTGAAGTTAAGCAACTTTCGCAATGGTCGGTTATGGGATGGGTGACCAAAAATTTACTATTTCGAGTTCCTCCTTAACACGTTAAGCCGTTGGTCCCGGCTGTATCTGCAGTCGTTAGCACCCGCCAATCGGCACTGGGCCCGCGTGGTGGGTCATGGCCCAATCTCCCTATTCCATCCATAGGGAAGGCCTGTGCCCCTGCAGTGGGGACATTAATAGGCTGATGATGATGATGATGAAGAGCTTCCCCACTGAGTAATTTCAGTACAGATTTTTTACCAAGCGGATGCATATCTCGTTGTGCCTCTTTTTGGTTGTGTGTATGCTGTTGGTCGCAGATGACCTTTACAGCGTCACCGGGTTTGGGGACGGCGAGGTCATAAGGAGACCTCAAGCCTAGAATCGACAAGTACCTCTAGAGGTATTCCAGACGGATGGAATCTCACCACGGGGGGAGTCTCCTCCAGTCTCCGTTTGGAGCCTCTAGACTACTTGAGCCTGAAGGGTCGGCTGAACTAGTGGGCGTCTCTGAGACTCGGACCTCGGGTCTAGTTAGCCCTTGTCATGGGGGCCGGTCTGTGTGTCGAGTACTACCAAACCATTCGTCTCGCCCGTCCCGCAACTTCCGCAAACAAAATTGTAGCAAACAAAACGAAACGATACCGTTCCATAACCGAGCCAGTCAAGAAGTGGTTCTCGGTAAAAAATCTGTACAGATTCGGCACAAAAGAGTAACGAGCCCGTACCGACCCGGTGAGGAAACAGCCTCGTTAAATACTGCAGCCCCTTACCCATGTTTGAAATATGCCAAAACATAATCTTTTTACGGAGTTACGTCATTTTAAATTTTGTGCTATACAAAGAAACTCAATTTAAAATCCAATTTAAATGTTGTTTTAGGTAGATTGAGGCCACATTGAGAGCCAAGCTACACGGACTAATCCTAGCAAACAGACGTATTGAAGTTCGCTACGAGCCTAGCCTAGATATATTTGTCTCTTAAGCTCCTGGAGCCTAAAGTTCAGGTCAAATTTTAACAATTCAATTCAAATTTATTTATTTCGACCAAATAAGGAACATAATTATTTCATTAAATAGACAATTACATAAATATTTACCAAGAATACACTAATCATAATAATAATGTAATAAAAAAATCTCTTATCTATTAGACAAGTCCGTCCGTCCGTCCGTGGTGCTGTTTCAGCGGCCAAACCGTAAGAGATAGATATAGAGAATGTTTAAGTTATAAGTTAAGAATAGTCTGATAAGACTACAAACCGGATGTGAGTAACGTAGCACTTCCGGTTTTCGAGAAATCACGTGATTTCTATTTCAAACGAAACCACACAAAATCTCCGAAGTTCTCAATTAATTAAATACTTTTTTTTTTTTTGGTGAACATTTGGTTCACAGGTTTGCTAGTATCATAATAATTCCAATCGACATTATTATTTTAACGGCACCTCATCGGTGCCGCTCTCAGAACAAGAACTATGATCAACTTGCAGTAATTTTGCTTAAACTAAATTTAACTAAAATTAGATTTAGTCCATACAATATGTCAAATTGATGTTTTTGTCACTTTTCTGTGGGTTAGTTTTAGTTGTATCGAAATTAAAAACACTAGTTTTGAAGATAATACTCTTTTGTTTGTGACATGTATATTTCGATAGCTTCATAAATATAATTATAAAAAGCATTTGTAGCGTCCTCACAATTTTTTGACCTTAACTCCTCCTCCCATGGGCTGTCAGAAAAGTACTAATTTAGACCTATGTAATTAGCTTTATAGAAATTTCGCCTTAAAGATTGTGATACTACTAGTGAAGCAACTATTAGATCAATTATTTCAAATTCAAATATTGGGTGAGATTGATCCATTTTACCCAGATAGTCTGATAATGACTTATGATTTAAGGTAAGATTTGATAACACTAAGTCCCTATTCCCAAAATTATGCATTTCGCATAATGGAGCTTTGAATTGCTATAATTACTTAATTCCTATTGTATTACAAACCGATATCGAAATATTTGTTTGGGTGGAAAACATGCAACCTTAAGATCAACCGTATTTTGCCTAGTGACATGCAAATCTGGGTGTTTTGTAACATACAATCTCACTTACGATCTCATATATTCGGATTTTTGACAATTGATAAATATAAATTACTGCTTCAAACAGTTATAGCGATATTTTGGCGTGTAAGGCGCAGCACAACAGGAAAGACGCTGCGAATATACTGTGAAGTTAACAAGTTTAAACCTAATTCTTACCACAAGCGGCGTCTTTTCTTCTTCAGCGATACGTAACCGCCACGAGAGCCGGGGCGGTGCGCGACTCTCCGCTCCGTAGCTTTTGGCCGCGCCCAAAGTCGCCGCGCGCCGCTCCACAGCTCTTGGCCACGCTTGGACTCGCCCCGCGCCGCTACGTAACTCTGGGCCGTGCTCAAAGTCGCCGCACGCCGCGCCGCTCCGTGGCTTTAGGTCGCACTTGGAGTTGGCCCGCGCCACTACGTGGGTCTTGGCCGTGCTCAAAGTCACCGCGCGCCGCTCCGTGGCTCTAGGTCGCACTTGGAGTTGGCCCGCGCCACTACGTGGGTCTTGGCCGTGCTCAAAGTCACCGCGCGCCGCTCCGTGGCTCTAGGTCGCACTTGGAGTTGGCCCGCGCCACTACGTGGGTCTTGGCCGTGCTCAAAGTCACCGCGCGCCGCTCCGTGGCTCTAGGTCGCACTTGGAGTTGGCCCGCGCCACTACGTGGGTCTTGGCCGTGCTCAAAGTCACCGCGCGCCGCTCCGTGGCTCTAGGTCGCACTTGGAGTTGGCCCGCGCCACTACGTGGCTCTTGGCCGTGCGCCGCTCCGTGGCTCTAGGTCGCACTTGGAGTTGGCCCGCGCCACTACGTGGCTCTTGGCCGTGCTCAAACTCGCCGCGCGCTGCTCCATGGCTCTTGGCCACGCTTGGACTCGCCCCGCGCCGCTACGTGACTCTGGGCCGTGCTCAAAGTTGCCGCACGCCACGCCGCTCCGTGGCTCTAGGTCGCACTCGGAGTTGGCCCGCGCCACTACGTGGCTCTTGGCCGTGCTCAAACTTGCCGCGCGCTGCTCCATGGCTCTTGGCCGCGCTCGGAGTCGTTCCGGGCCGCTAGGTGGCTCTTGGCCATGCTCAAAGTCGCTGCACGCCGCTCTGTAGCTCTTGGCCGTGCTCAAAGTCGCCGCACGCCGCTTCGTGGCTCTTGGCCGCGGTCGAAGTCTCCCCGCGCCGCTCCATAGCTCTAGGTCGCGCTCGGAGTCGCTCGCCGTCCGCCGTGCTTATTTATGTGCTATCTTCGCCGCGCCTCTCCTGACGTGCGCTGCGCCTAAAACGGCAGCTATCGAATACGGAAGTGAGATTTTGATAAGTGGTTCATGTATATTCATTATACTTTAGACACAACTCAGTTTGACTGAATAATAATTGCTATGATTTGTCCCGAATTTATTAATTATTCATCAAGTGGTCTTCACCAACGCGTTTTCAAGTGCCATTTGCATTATTTGGGCAGAACACTATCTCTAAGGATAAGAATAAATCTTTTGGCATGACCTTGAATGTATATTTGGTGGATCCACTTGATCTACGAATTTCGCTCTTATTTCTATATCATTAATAAGGAAGATAACCCTCCGTACACATTTGATATTGGCTGAACCGAAGTTTTTGTTTGAAAACAACGGTAACAGATTGCCAGCAAATTGTCTGTAATATTCCACGAACTGATTAAACAGTCGCGCCCTTATATCATTTT